TTTTCTTGATCAATCTGTATTAAAATACTATTAAATTACGCTCTTTGCACAGTGCAAATGTTGAATTAATTTAAAAGCACGTACACACGTAAGGACTTTCCAGGCACGGGGTATAATTTTACAATGCAGTTACCATGGACCCCACATTGCATACTGTACAAAATCAAATTAAAAACCAGTTTCAATTGCCTCGTGTAACAAAACCAATGAGCACATCCTCAGTTAATATTTATTCCGAGAAGTGATTTAATGCGTCACACGTCTGAACCTGGGATTCCCCCACCGACCTTCGACCAATAATTATTAAACACCATTACGTCACTCGTCGTCTGTCGGAATGTCGGTCGCTTCCTTAAAATAAAACGAGAAAGAAAAAAAAATATATACGAAATAATTAAAAACTTAAAATAGTAAGAATAATTAAGCAATTAATTTGGAGTTTTAATTATTCCTCCCTCTCAGCGCTGACTACTCCCACTTTGAACTCGTTTTCTGTCTGGAAAGTTCTTTGCAGGGATTTATCTCTGTTCCTTATCGCACTTCCTTTCCGAATAATTCACCTGTCTTAACATTTCAAGCAGAACAGTCGAATAACCGTCCATCCAACAGACACAGAGCGCACAGGAGTCAGGAAATTAACAGCTTAAGTCACATTTACGACTGTGACAATGCTCATGTGAATAAATGAAAAAAAGTGGGGACAAATCTGGGTTAACATTTTTATAGAAGACTGTTTAAAGACGGCTTATATGTGCACATTATACAACACCTGAAGATGAAGGAAACAGTTACCTTCAAAGCTATGGTAACCACCTAAAAGAACATAAGGCATCTTAACCCAGAGGACTATAGTCCTACCGGTGAATAATTTTAATCAATTAATTCAAGCGGACCTTTCCAAACAAGCTACATACCCAGCCCATCGTAGCCTCTGATACTTCTCTAAGACCTACCAGATTCACTAAGTTGGTTTGATTTTGCTGTTTATAAATGTGCTTTCACGAAAGAATATTATAATATTTATAGAAATAACTTGCTCATTAATAACAAATAAATATGAATAGTTTAAATCACGAATAATAATTATTTTTAGTGTGTATGATAATAAGCAGTATTAATGGTACATGTGATTTTAACAGAATATTAATCGTGTTTAGATGAAACAAAATTTTACGCCAAGCATTTTGCATCTCAGTTTTAAGCACGCTGGCCTCCATAATGTTTCGTTCTGTCGATTTTTCAAACAGTGCAATCTAGTGGAATGCAGCCACAATTACGTAGCAGCAAATAACCATTGAAACTCGCTCTGCAGGGAGAAATTTAACGTTCCATGATATCAAGATCTGTAAGCATTTACACAGATGAGTTCCAGGAATCTCTTGTATTTTTTTTGCCAGATTTTAATCATTTGTACAACAAGGAATTCTTTTATTCTTACACTCTCTTTTAATTAATTCATCCTTTCGTTTAATCGTTAAATATGTTATTCTTTATGAAAAATTGTAGCATGTGTGCATTGTTCTAGAAACCATCTGCATAAACGCTCTCAACTTTGTCTTTCTTTAACACGAAATAAGATTTGTGGATGAATCCTGTCCAAATTTCTATAATTTATTTAAAGGTTATCCTTTCTAATTTTTGTTTGTACAGAATTGCTCATAATTAAATAAACAATTTGAAATAACTGAAATTTTATTTATTTATTTATTTTTTATTTTCAGAAATAAGGCAGGGGCTTGAAAAAATTATAACGAATGGCTACACAGCCCAGTAACGTGCCGAAATTGTCGAATTGTTATTTCAAAACAATTGCTCAATTCCACTGACGTAGAGAATATTTCGCACGAACGTTGTTAACAAGAATTCCAGCGAATACATCGTGAAAAACACCTAGAATTCTCCAGCGCTTTTCTCCAGGTGACAAATTACTCGTCATTCGTTACTTTATTAACAAAACCACAGCTACTTTATAAGGGCATACTCGAGAGAAGCTTATTGTAGTTCAGCTGGTCAGGAAGTTTCACGTGTTTAATGGAAGACGACAGGGCATTACCTCCCTATACAAAACCCTTATTTTAAGGTCGCCAAATCAATCCAAACCCTCACACTTCCTTCAAGTGTCATTTTTTGACATCACATCTACTACTAGTTCTCCCAAGTGGTCCCTTTCCTTCAGTTCTGACTAACATTATGTATGACTTATTTGCGTCCCTCGTATGTGTTGCGTCCATCTGAGGCCATTCATCTTAATTTGATCTTCGTAATAATATCATATGAAGACCGCTGACTGTGAGGTACTTTACTTATCTTAAAACTTCGTAAACACACTGTACTTTGCTATTATGGTCAAGTTAGTCTTTTTTCAAAAAAAATCACTTTTTGAAAGATTTATTAATAACGAAGTTATATGCTAATGTTTAGAAATTAATTAACATTCAGAGAGCATATGTAATTATATTGTTGCATAGAAATATGTATGTCAGGACGACAATTTGCGGGACCACTAAAAACTTAAACCATTTTTGCTGTTGTAAGGAGTTCAAAGTTTCGTCTCCTACTCTTTACTCCCACCGTTAAGTCTATCTTCATCTCGACGTTTCTGGCTTTACCGAGTCCTGTTGCTCGCTTCCCATCAACTCTTGAGTTCCCCCCTCGTCCTCGGACTTTCAGCAGTATTATATGCAAATTGATTTCAAACGTGTTGCTTTTTAATTATTTGTGGTGTCCCACACCGCATGGACTCGTCACTTGTTAAACTAATTTCTATATGTGATAAACATTAACGACGTTCCTGAGGAACGTTCTGTAGAGTCAACGTGACTGAAAGTAGTGACGTACCGATTTTTACGAATTGTCATCGGTTCGTGTTGATATAAAAGCGTTACGTATCCAAGACAGGTTTTAACAATGTTGTTCTGCAATTTGCATGGGATGTAAATCTTATCACTCACCCAAACAGCGAGCAACTTTGTTTTCTGATTCTAACGGGGCTTCTTATAACGTTGAATAACGTTTATAAAATCACGGTTCACTCTACGGAAACTGTAAGACGTTAGGTAACGCTGGTGTGTAACTTCTTCAAACGCCAATAACTCGAGACCTATGTAAGATAGAGAATATAAACCTAATATATAAATTAAAGAGTAAATAAAGGGCTTTTTCTACATGATATTTACTTTATTCTATAATGCATTTTCACACATTGTTTAAATAATTACCCAAAACGTAATAACTATACACTCGTTCCTTAAATTCAACCGCTTGCCACGTCTAAATCGTAAGAGTTAGATAGGGGACATATCGCGAGTGAAATACGTAAATAAACACGAGCTTTTCAAATTTGCAAACAGATTTCAGCTAAAAATTTACATTTTAAACTGTTACATAAAAAAACTCAGTAATATTATTATCCTGATCGCGGTAAATTTTTCAACTATCAGAGGATTAGTTATTATTTCAATTGTTATTATATCTGTTCTGATTGTAACAAAAGGAATCAGTCTGAGTATCCATAATTATTTTCATGAGATTTTTTTATTCTTTCTAAATTTATGACGAATTACAGTTGCAAAAGCTTTGTGTATTACTACGAATTAGTTCCGACTGATGATTTCAGTGAGTTTATATCGGAGGACGGGATGAGACGAATAAAACTAGCAAATAATCGTGTCCAGTGGCGGTCTCTGGCGTTGTCGGTGTCAAACTTCGTGTTCTGCCACCCACCACCGTAGTGACTCCTGTTTGTGTGGAACGCCACACTAACACTGCCCATTCGCTCGCCTTTACCTTGTTACAGAAATCACTGAACCTTCACAATTACGTCATAGAATTCCTTCCTGCCTCCATTTTTTATATTTCACTTTTAACTCCTTCCTTCGTTGTTTCTTTTTCTTTGCTTAACGAATAATCTTAATATCAAATGTTCAGCCATTCTAACAAAAGCTCAGGCAGTTCTGCGGGCTAGCTGGTCAGTCAACAATAATCTCTCAGTCTACTCTGTGTGGGCCAACAACCACTGATTTGTGGTAATTTTTCTAAAACAACATAGGCTGATCGCCTGTGGGCTGTTCAAGAACATCGTTATGAAGTGAGAAACGAACCGGATGTTTGGACGGACGGTAATTACCATACTCCGTAATCATTTCCTGAAATCACTAAAATTATTATTACGTGTAAAAAAAACACAAAGGAAAGGAGACGTTAAATTAATTACAGATATATCATTCAAGGAGACTTGGCTTGGCGATATGAATTCAATTGTTTTGACATAATGTAACCTTGAATGACGATGTTTTTTTCTGTTACTCGCTTCTCACTGTGACGACATCCCAATTCTTTACGTAACTTGTCATGATTCCCTTCAACCAGCTAAACAAAAGATTTTGAACGAGAACTAAGAACCATAAATTCCACTGCGTACATAATATTTAAATGAGCGATAAACTTATGACATCCTTGAAGATGTCTGACTTGTGGATTGTAGCGCCGTGTAGTTAGTAGTAGAAGTTTACCATCACCCTGATAATGCAGACAGCAAGTGCCTCTCAAACGTTTGTGAATTACTACCAGGCTGAACTGTATTGGCTCCAGAAACCATTTTCCAGGTTATAACTAATTTATATTTTACATCGAGTGTTATCAGGCGTTCATTTTTGTGTTCAGCGAAAAAGCAGGAGAATAACTTAGCTGGGTTGTAAAGAGTGTTAACTGCACCACGGACACTTAAGTCTCAATTTCCTGTAAGGCCTTGGATTTGCTTGAAGTTACTGTGAGAACAGTTTCTTGCAATATTTTTAGTATTAAAATAAACTGCACGTATTTGTAAACAGTATTGTCGAAAATTAGCAAATATTAATAATATACCCTTTTTGATTTAGATGGTATCACCAATTTTTCCCTGTCGCTAGAATAATAAAATGATACTTGTTCAGATACTGAAGGAATTTTTCACCTTGCTTAATCTATAAAAGCTCCTTGAGCCAGATTTAAAAGCTTCATACCTGATCCGTCACTTCGCTGGTCAAAGAGTGAAGATAGTTTTGTTTCGTACTGCATTTCCATCTCTGAAACACAAAATGAGGACATCATGTTTGTTAGCGCTAACTAAACGTTTGATTTTATTTTGAATAAGAAAAAGAAGAATATTCTGCCGATTATGATGATTATGCAACACAACGAAAGATAAAATGACGAGGTGAAATAAATTTAAGCATTCAAATATATTTAATTGGTAGCCGAAATATATATTTCTTTCTTCAATTTGTCACTTACTTCCAGACATGTATCATACTACTTCGACATTTAGACTTTTACATTTCGCAGTGGTCTTCAGGTACACGTAAACCGCACTACAAAAATAATAATATAAATCTTTGATTTAATCCTAAATTCAGTGGTAGTCCTAAGTAAAATTTACACAGCAAAATTGTGCTAGAGAATTATTAAATTAAGAAACTGATTTGAGGCTTTCACGAGGGTGAGTGTGAAGATGGCTTGTTTCCGGGTTTTATCACCGTGTAGTCTGGTAAAAGTTCACCAACGTTTCAGAGGTCTTTGCTACCTCCATCATCAGGGCTATAAAACAACTTAATTCAAGCATGCCATGTACTAATTATCTACCTCGAATGTGCAAGATGGCTTATTAAGAAACAATTACGGCTCTAATTCGATAATATCAACCACTACACTACATTGACTAGAGAATTTCAATAGAGTGTCTCAGTATCTCCAAAAAATTCAGGTGTAGAAATTTAAACTCTTTAAAACACAGTGATAATTACATGTACCATCCACTACCATATTTAGTAATTATTTGTTTTACCAGCATAGGGCGGTGAGTAAGATTCTCATAATCATCAGAGATTATTTGTATAAACAACATTAACGTAATACGTAACATAATCTTTGCAGGTGTGTAGAGTTTCCTTTGAGGAGTAAACAGAAATTTTAAAAATGATTTTAAATGACCGCCCGACTTCAAAACATGAAACAGGTCAGAATTTTTCTTTCTCAAATTATTCAAATTTCAGCATATTTTATCATTCTGTAATAATATTCGAAGACAAACAGCTTCTGCATTGAGTTCAGTGTCTTTAAATAACCTACGTTCCAAACGATCAGCCAAGTTATGTTGAAATTCTTGTGGTCTTTAGTACTAGAGGCAGTTTAGCTCGACTGTGTTGAAATTCTTGTGGGCTTTAGTACTAGAGGCAGTTTAGCTCGAGTGGTGTCATTTTGAAGCAGGAAAACTGGCTGATTTGACGCCGTGAATTCGTATTTAAAGTCAAAATAAAAGGTAAGTGACTATCAATTCTCTTTTTACTTATCTTCTCCATCTTTTATCTTCTCTTATCTCTTCAGTCGTCTGTCTCTTATTCAGATAATAAAATTCACATTAAATAATAATAAAATTTTAATCTGATCTCGCAGTTCTGCAGACTTCACATATAAATATTGAAATTTTGTTTAAAACCGGCGTTCCGATACGCGAAAACACTTAAGAGAAGGTAAGCGAAGATTTAGTTCTTATGTGCTGCCTTGTTACACTTTTAAATTAATTGTGTAAAGTAAGACTTTCCCATCATTCTTGACGGATAATTTTCCACTGCACATTCCTAGAGGAATACGGAAGTAGATCCTGAAGCCAACCTTCCACCCACATTTAGTGCGGAGTTTATGAACGTGTGGAGCCTTCCATCCACGTACCCAAGATGACTTTACGGTATTGTGCTGTTGTCCAGAGAGAGAAACATATAAGACAAAACTGTGAACAGACAATAGCTTTATTTGTCTGTTTGCATGGTTTAATTTTCAGGCAGACTTTCTTACAAATTAATACCGGAATTCTTATTAATATAGAGGTATGAGGTGAATAAATATAAAGCAACCTCAGAGTGTCTTAACGTAGACTATAAATTAATAAAATTACACAATTAACAAGTCCAACTCTTTATAAATATCCAGGGAAGACTAAAGGAAATGTGTGTCTCATCCACATGGAAAGAACAATTCCCCACGAACCCTGGACTTCAGGGTCGTTTTTGAAAATTTTCACAGATGGTTAAGAAATTTTCCATCAATTATAAAACTCAATAATTCACACTAAACCTCTACTGGACTTAACCTGAACTAGCTGAATCCAATTTATATCGCATTTCTGCTATAATTAAAACCACAAAATGTCCTATGCTACTGTTGAGACCCAACGCGTAATCCGCTTTCTTCAAGCATGTGGATTATCCTATCTTCGAAGTGTATCTTGATTTTCCTCAGCCGATTAACATATAAACCTTGAAAAGTATACCTCTGACGGATTTTTCTATCTAGTAACCTTCAGTTCAACATGCATAATCATCTGATATCTCAATTAATGCAAAATACCCAAAAGAACTTGAAAATGTGTTGTGAAATAAAATGAGTCTAGAAAAAAATCATAGTTAAATACGCACACATGCGTGTTATGACGCGTAGATTTGTTAAATTTTAGTAAAAATACTAAAATTTGTAGTCATTTAACATGCAAGGTAAAATCCTCACGCTGCAACTTTCTTAAGCATCCACACCATTAACGTCTTTAAATAAAGATTTCTGTCTTCTGGGTTGTTGCGCTGTGTAGTCTGGTCGATGTTTACCAACGTTTCAGAGGTCATACTGCCTCCGTCATCAGAGTATGAAGATTTCTGTCTTCTGGGTTGTTGCGCTGTGTAGTCTGGTAGATGTTTACCAACGTTTCAGAGGTCATACTGCCTCCGTCATCAGAGTATGAAGATTTCTGTCTTCTGGGTTGTTGCGCTGTGTAGTCTGGTAGATGTTTACCAACGTTTCAGAGGTCATGCTGCCTCCGATCGCCCTGATGACGGAGGCAGCATTACATCTGAAACGTCGGTAGAGAAGACAGAAATCTTCACACTCACAGCCGTGAAAATCTCAAATCCTACGTCTTTAAATAACATGGATTAAAACTTTCTGTAATTAGGAGGTAGCAATTTAAGACAATAGTTGTTATATTAATTATTTGGTTTCGTAATTTAAATAACGATGGACGCTATTAAATAAATGCAACCATAACAATAAGACTCTGTAAGAACATCCGTGGGATACATTGATGTAAAACCATCATCATTTGTATACAGCGCATGTAATTAACAGCATTCTGAGTTAATGGTTAATGCAGTACGTGGTTCACAGGACATCTTGTTTCCGGAACTGTCTAGAAGCTGACGGATGGACGGCGGATAAGACATTCTTACAAGGATATAAAGAGTTGGCCATCACTTGTTTCTGTAACAGCTTTCACAGTTATCAATTATTCATGCGCAATTTCTATGAGACGCAGAATAAGCCCAGCGTGGGTCATGGGCTCCTTGTTTCATTTTGACTTCTTATCTGAAGTAATTATTAAAACTACGCGTTTTTGATTATCTTCTGATCAGATAATGTCGGTGTATAACGGTCGTGGTGTTATTCACAGAATCTAGAGGCATCTGTTGACGCAGTCAGGCAACATTTCCTGTGAACCTAACCTAACCTGCCTGCTTCCTTCTTTCACATTATCGCCTTTCTGACTGCCTAATCTCTTCCCACAGTTAACACACAAAGTCAGTGGTATTGCAGTCCGGTACTTCTCAATGGATTCTGAGGACTAGACTGTCACATGGCTCGCTTTAGCAGATCATAGCTTATCGCTGAATCAAAATGGTTGAGATAGCGACAACCAGCGGTCTTAGTTAAACATTCTGGCCCATATGTTATCTCAGACTTAATTTTTGGCCCCGGAGTGTATAAAATATAAACAAGTAAAAATACTCTTTATCACATACAGAGCAGGTAATTGACTTCTGCTTACTTAAGCATTGATTCCTTTGTCACTTTTTATTTTATAAATACTTTTTTAAAGTTATTTTCTTGTCATCTCAGAAGGGCTTAAATGGGCATCGGAATGAAAGTTGTGAATCTATGAAACATTTTGTATGTGTTACCAATTACGGGTATGGCGACAAAGCGCATCTTTAATGATAAGCCTATGTCTGGAAAACTGAATAACCTATAATATGCACAAATACAAATGATGCATATATTGATCAATAAATTTTATGATCAAATAAGAATTATTGTAAGGTTTTCACAGCAATGAGTATGAAGATTTCTGTCTTCTGGGTTCCTGCGCTGTGTAGTCTGGTCGATGTTAACCAACGTTTCAGAGGTCATACTGCCTCCGTCATCAGAGTATGAAGATTTCTGTCTTCTGGGTTGTTGCGCTGTGTAGTCTGGTCGATGTTTACCAACGTTTCAGAGGTCATACTGCCTCCGTCATCAGGGCGATGAGTATGAAGATTTCTGTCTTCTGGGTTGTTGCGCTGTGTAGTCTGGTAGAAGTTTACCGATGTTTCAGAGGACCTCGCTGCCTCCATTGTCAGGACGATAATAAATGTTCGGCGACTATAAAGTCGGGTAATATATTGTTCTCAGTTACTTCGCCAGATGGTCGAATGTTCTACCTTGTTAGTACTCCTGCCATTAGTCAGTTTTTAGAAATACTTTTAAAGGAGATAAAAGGAGGGCGAAAACCACAGATAAAAGGATAAATGAGGTTAAAGAATGGAAATTTGAAACAAATTATTCCTGTTTAACTTCAACAGGATTTTACATTTAACATGTAAAATGTAGTTTAACGCTATATTAATATGGCTGTTCTGGGTCCGCGGACCACATGTTAAAGACATAATTCGAGCGAGATTCAAGGACGGAATGACACTGTCCCTTAAGTCTGTTCGGCACAAGAATTATCATGGAGTATCGCAGAGCATGCTGGGAGCCCGAAAGACACAAGCTCGGCTAGGACATCACGGTCCCCGAAGACTAAATCATCGGTAAAGATGGCTACCGTACGACGTCCGCGCAAATGCGTCGTCACTGGAATGGAGTGGAGAGGTAGACGGGACGGGCGAAGACAGAAAGAGACTGATGGGTTTGATCTTAACCTAATGAAATCTGTTTTCGTCGTTTCGTGGCGACTGTTGGTGTGTCAGCCATTTGCAGCTAGCGGATACAGCCTTCAGTGCTA